ATGAACTAGAACTTCTGAAGAGACTTAAGCTGCAGAACTGCAAAGTTGTTGTAACATTATCAGAAACCAATCTAAAATTGGATTCCGACTTTGATGGTGATTCTGTTGATACTACAACTTTCAAACAGTTGGTTGGTTCTCTAAGGTATTTATGCAATACTAGGCCTGACATTTATTATGCAGTTGGATTGGTTAGCAGATTCATGAGTAATCCAAAGTGGTCTCATTTCCAAGCTGCTGTCAGAATTTTGAGATATATCAAAGGAATCCTGAAATATGGAGTGTTGTTTCCTTCTGAAAGTAAGACAATTAGAACTGATAAGTTATTCTGGTTCTGACTGGTGTGGAGACAGAGTGGACATGAGAAGTACTTCTGGATACTTGTTTAAATTTCTGGGAGGTCCCATTTCCTGGAGTTCCAAGAAACATCCTGTCGTGGCTCTGACAACATGTGAAGCTGAGTATATCGCAGGTGCTGTAGCTGCTTGTCAAGCTGTTTGGCTTCTGAATCTCCTGCATGATCTGAAGGTTGAAGTTGAGGAACCTCTGAAGCTGATGATTGATAATAAGTCTGCAATTGATCTTGCCAAGAATCCTGTTCTACATGGAAGAAGAAAGCACATTGATACGAAGTATCTCTTTCTCATAAGTCAAGTGCAGAAAGGAGTGTTAGAAGTTCTGCACTGCAGCACTCAAACAACTAGCAGATCTTCTGACGAAGGCAGTTAAAACAGATCAGTTTCTTCGCTTGAGAGATAAAATTGGTGTTGTTAGCTTCTGATAGAATATCTAAATTAAGGGATGATATTGGAAATATAATTTAATTAATGTCTACAATTCCCAATGCTTATTCTTTAATAGGGCCTTTTGGCATTTTTATTTTTTAGTATAAATATGCTATACTAGCTATCAATATTGTACCCAATTCTATCTCCTCTATTTTATAATACAACAATAGTCTTGTTATCATTTTGTTCATTCATCTTCTCTCACTTCATTACCTTGCACCAACAATAGTTAAACAATCAACAAGCAATCATCTATTAAAGATCCTCTAAGTTGAAGTTGAAAGTTGAAGAGGGGAAAAGAGCTATTTTATTTTCAAAGAAAGACAAACTATTTTATTATGTTAATTTTTTGGCTTAATTGTAATTTTGATTCTTCTATTTTACGTTTTTTTTCCTTCTGATTTTGGTTTCTTTATTTTAAAAATCATAATTTTGATCCTTTTTAAGTTTTGTGTTAAATTTTAGTCACCCTCTCAATTTGAGTGTCATTTGCTTGACATGACCGATGAATTGATGATGGTAGCATGATTTAATAGCAAAAAAAAAAAAAAAACAATTTCTACGTCATTCATAATTATTTTTTATTTAAATAATATATAAAAATAAAAAATAAAAAAAACTTAATAAATAAATAAAATCTTCATATTTTATTCTTTATATTTCTAGATTTTTTCTACAAAGTTGCAATTAAGCCTATTTTTTTGTAGTGTTTGTTAATGTTAAACCACTTTCAAGTGCCAATTGTTTTGGCACTCTATTTTGTTCTACCACCACCCACGAGTATCTGACACCTTTATTACAATAATTTTACTCAATTATCCTTGAATTTTAAAAATCATTTTACATTTCTTTTTTAAAAATTCCATTTTATTTAAAAAATTGTGCATCTTACTGGATTTTTTAGCCAACTAATACCATTTTACAAGTTGAATTTTTATCAACAATTTATATTGTATATTAGATTTTTTTTGGTTAAAAATATATATTTTTACCGGCATTTTCAAAATGTCTTATAAAATCTCATATTTCTCATTCTTTTTTATCATATATTTTGGAAAATGTGGTGAAATCACATATATTTTTACCAAATATTTTGAAAAGTTCGATAAAATTGCATACATGCGTGCCAAACTTTTTAGAATATCCGACAAAAGAAAATTTTGAGAAGGTACCTGAATTTTTCAAAAAATTCGGGAAAGTCATGTTTATTTTCGGATTTTTAAAATGTCTGGTTGTTCATATTTCTTTGTTTTTTTTTTTGCAGAGAGGACAAGAGTAAAGGACAAAATGATTGCTTCTAGGAAGATTAAGAGAGTTGTCAAATATTTGCATATCAAGGTGGAGTGAGTAGCCCTGACCGGTTCTCACAAAAGGAGGATGACTGAGCAGGCACGCGCACCCTACACTATGCGTTGTAAATGAGATAGAGGTGATGGATGGGTCTAAGATCTTGTTGATGAACCTAATGATGTGGCGATGTCGAGATAACAACTTAGGAGGTGGATGGTAAGGATTACAAGCATATGGTTTTTGAGAAAAAGGTGAATGATCGTATTGAGATAAAGGCTCTAGATGATATGAATGTGACTCTTCATGCTGATATAGAAGTGACTCCTTAGTATGATACAAAATCGATTTCTCTGATTGACTCGGAGGCGACTGCTTCGGTTGACACAAAGGTCACTTCTCTGGATGATAGATAGGTGAATACTCATCCTTCAATGGAGTCGTATATACACACTGATGGAGGGTTTCTTGGAGGACCCAATGACCGTACCATACTCATCAGATTTGTTGATCACGTGACATTGATATTATGACAGGGAAATATATATATATATATATATATATATATATATATATATATATATATATATATATATATATATATATATATATATATATATATATATATATATATATATATATATATATATATATATATATATATATATATATATATATGTGTGTGTGTGTGTGTGTGTGTGTGTGTGCGTGTGTGTGTGTGTGTGTTATTTTGAAGTTATTTATTTATTAATAATACCTTGAAAGTAACTGATGCTTTTTTCTTTATTTGTTATAGGACCACCTACCGCTGAAGGTGCCCACCCACGGGACGAAGCTGAAAAAGTTATTGGATGTCCTGATACCTCAGGAGGCCAGTAAGATTATCAATGATTGGAGACTCCTTCATTAGTGGACTGCTCGCTGACCATGCTTGATGTTTCACTCTTGTCAGCATTGTTGATCGATGACATAAGGAGAAATCCTTCTTCCATCTTCCATTTAATGAGATGACGATTACTTTGGATGATGTCTCATATATGTTCCATCTCCCATGGCCAGGTAGTTTCTTCACCACTTCTCTCATTAACCAAAAACTTGCATGTATTACTGCTATACATGATTTAGGGTTAATGAGATGCATGTGAGAGATGTGTTTAAGTTTAACAAAGGTGTTGAATTTAGGCATGGCAAATAAACCCGCCCCCGCCCTGAAATTAGTGGGGAAAACCCAGTTTAACCGAGTCCGGGTGCGGGGAAAACCCAATTTTTATTTACGGGTGCGGGTGCGGGGGCGGGTGATACTAGTACCCATCCTGCACCCGCACCTGCCCCGCACCCGCCAACTAAATTTAATTTATTTCATTTATTTTTTAATAGTTTTATTACTCATTTACACTTTTTAATGTTATAATATCATGTTTATTAGAATTTTTTTTTTTTGAAAATACAATTTAAATAAAAATATCAAACATAAAAATGCTTTTAAAATAATTAACTATTTAGTTTAATTATTGATTTTTATTTTTATTGAAAAAAGTATTAATTTTTAAAAATTAATATTTTATTCAGGCGGGTGTAGGGCGGGTGCAGGGAAACCTGTTTCTTATTGGGGGCGGGGGTGGGGGAACAAATATTAGCTCCGACCGGGTTTGGGGGCGGGTGCGGTCTGGGTTGGGGTGGCAGGTGCGGGTCTGGGTATGCTTAAACCCGCCCCCGACCCACCCCGTTGCCATCCCTAGTTGAATTTCACATATCTTGGCTTTGGGATAGGTATATGGAGCTAGTGGTGCGGTCTATGTATAGGGCGATCACTATGTTATGCATGCTACATTTTGTAGGATGTACTATCTTAGAGGATAAGTCTCATCACTACGCCAAAAATGATTTTTTGTATCACCTAATTTAATAGCACTTTTAAAAAAAATGCTATTAAAATGGAAAAAAACACATTTATAATAGCACTTTTTAATCGGGCGCTATTATATAATACAGACTATGTAATTATGATAGCACTTTGTACCAGAACGCTATTATTAAACTTCTTTAAGATAGCATTTTGTATAAAACGCTATTATTTGACTACCTATATAATAACATTTATTAAAAAGCGCTATGTTATATATAATAATGAATTAATTAATTAATTGATAAAAAAAAAAAACAAAATACATTTTCAGAAAACACTATCTTCCTCACCGCCAAAACACTATCTTCCCGCATCCACTCACCGCATCCACTCACCGCCAAAACAAAACACTATCTTCCCGCATCCACTCACCGCATCCACTCACCGCCAAAAACAAAAACACTATCTTCCTCTGCTTCCTTCTTAGCCATTGATTCTCCCAACTGATTCACCGCCGTCAAATCTTCCTCTGCTTCCTTCGGTTTTCATTGATTCACCGCCGTTAGTCATTGATTTACCACCGTCATCCCTTCCTTCGGTTTTCACCCGGATCAATTCTTCAGCCATCGGATTCACCATCGATTCAGATTCAGATTCACTTCTCAAACGACACTCAAACAGAAGGAGGAAACACCGAAAAGAAAGAACAACCAAATCTCATTCTCCGTCGAACTCAACCCTTTGTCATCTCACCTACGTCGTCGTCATCCCTCTCTTCATTTGTATCCGGTAATATTTCTTTTTTCAGTTTCTGCTATCCGTTGATTCTCTGTGTTGTTTGTGAGCGTTATGATGTCTTTGTGTTGACGGATATTCGTGATTTTGAGTAGCTGTAATGAGGGTTTGTGAGGTTAAGTTGCAGTTGTGAGGGTTCGTGAAATTTGAGTGATAAGGCTTGTGTTATTGATGTGTGCCTGAATGGTGAGAGATGAGCTGGTTATTGATGTGCTTCTTTTTCTTGTTACTTATTGTCTGTGTAAAACTATTTTACATTATCAGTGTATCCAAATTAAACCCCCATGTTTTTTCTACCTGCAGGTAGAAGATGGGGTTTTCCTAGATTTGCTGGTGACTGTGCCAGTGGTATGAAGAAGTATCCTCCAGGAACAATTTTAGAGCACAAGAGTGATATCACTGATTCTTGCTCTCAGATGATACTTCAGCTCCACGATGTCTATGATCCGAATAAGGTTAGTTCTAGTACCCTTGGTTTTGGCGTGTAAAAGGTTCATGCAATTTGAATTTTGAAGATATTAATCCTTATGTTAAACCTTTTCAAACAGATAAATGTCAGGATTAAAATTATTTCTGGATCACCTTGCGGATCAGTGGCCGCAGAAGCCAAGAAAGGACAAGCCAGTTGGGTTGTTTTAGACAAGTAATAATCTCTCTTATCTTTTCCTCATTAAGAATCACACTATTGTATACGTGTCATTGTCTGAGTCGTGTCTTTCCTTCATAGATTGTAACTATAATCCAGTTATTGATATGTTGGAATTTGATGTTGCTTTTTTGCAGACATCTCAAACATGAGGAAAAGAGATGCATGGAAGAGTTGCAGTGTAACATTGTTGTTATGAAGCGTACTCAACCGAAAGTGCTTCGTTTGAACTTGATTGGAGCACAAAAGAAGGAAGTTGAAGAAGCTGGTACATCACCTTCTGAGCAAGGTGATATACCTGAAAAACAGTCCGAAAACAAGATGGATTCTGTAGTAGATTCTATCAAAGGACCGAATGTTACTCCGACTAGCAGCCCCGAGCTAGGGACGCCATTCACCGCTACTACTGAAGCCGGTACTTCATCAGCTTCAAGCTCAGATCCTGGAACTTCACCGTTCTGTATTCCAGAGATGAATGGTGAGAGATGAATGGTGAGACGAAGAGAGAAGAAACCATTAAGGAAAGTCATGAACTTTGTGATACATCAGACACAGAAAGTGAAAGTCTGTCGACATCTTCGGCTAGCTTTAGATACCAACCGTGGATCACAGAATTGCTTTTACATCAACAATCATCTCAACGCAACGGAGAAAGATCAGAGGCGTATCATGGTATGCCTCAAGCAACTACAACCAAGGCTTTGCTAGAAAAGTATTCTAGGCTTGATAGAGGAGCTGGAATGGAAATGTCGGCAGCATATAGAAATGACTCGGATTTTAGTGGTAATTTAAGAGAAGCGATAGCATTATCAGGAAATGCTCCACTTGGTCCACCTCCATTGTGTTCGATATGTCAACACAAGGCACCTGTTTTTGGAAAACCTCCAAGGTGGTTCAGCTATGCTGAGTTGGAACTCGCTACCGGGGGATTTTCACAAGCCAACTTCTTGGCAGAAGGAGGGTATGGATCAGTTCATCGAGGGGTTCTACCAGAAGGACAAGTCATTGCTGTCAAGCAACATAAATTGGCTAGTTCTCAAGGTGATGTCGAGTTTTGCTCTGAAGTAGAAGTCCTGAGCTGTGCTCAGCACCGAAATGTTGTTATGCTGATTGGATTCTGTATAGAGGATAAGAGAAGGCTTCTGGTTTACGAGTACATATGCAATGGATCATTGGATTCACATTTATATGGTAGTTGCAATATAATATTGAATTCATGGAACTGATACCATTTTGATTCTATATTGATCTAATACTTTGTAATATTTCAGGGCGACAAAGAGATCCATTAGAATGGTCTGCGAGGCAGAAAATTGCTGTTGGAGCTGCTCGCGGGTTAAGGTATCTTCACGAAGAGTGCAGAGTTGGTTGTATCATCCACCGCGACATGAGGCCGAACAACATTCTCATAACTCATGATTTTGAACCTCTGGTAGGGTAGTTCTTTGCCTTCATTTCTTACAACAAAAGACACCATTATCATTACTTCATTATTGCATAGTTCTTTGCACATTTCAAATTCTAACTGTATTGAATTGTGCTGAAATATGCAAGGTTGGTGATTTTGGATTGGCAAGGTGGCAACCTGATGGAGACATGGGTGTGGATACTAGAGTAATTGGAACATTTGGGTACGCTTTATATTGATCTTGATTCTGTTTCATTGTTTCATTGTCAAACATGTGTATGCGATAGGAGATTAAAACCAAGAATGTAGTGTTGTCTAACTTTTGTCTATAATCACTCATTTTTAATTTAGTATATCAATTTTTACACTTGATAAGTGCTCTGTGAGATATACTAATTTTATGTTCTGTTTTGTAACTGTGATATGTCCTATAACTTATAGCATGTCTGTGTCATGTTGTATTATCATGCTTCTTAGATTGTAACTAAGCTGTTGTATGTGTAGGTATTTGGCTCCTGAATATGCTCAAAGCGGCCAAATCACCGAAAAAGCCGATGTTTATTCCTTTGGGGTGGTATTGGTGGAGCTTGTTACCGGTAGAAAAGCTGTCGATCTCACTCGGCCAAAGGGACAACAGTGCCTAACTGAGTGGGTAAGTTAAGATTTCAGTGTGATATAGGTTCTCTTTGGATAAATAACCTAAGTATGCCGTTAATGTTCATGCTTAACCTTGAATAATTGTATAAATATTTTAACATTAAACAGGCCCGGCCACTGTTAGAAGAATATGCCATTGACGAACTGATTGACCCGAGACTTGGACGTCTCTATTTAGAACATGAAGTCTATTGCATGTTGCATGCTGCTTCATTATGCATAAGGAGAGATCCTCATTGTAGACCACGCATGTCACAGGTAAACAAAGTTCTCAACCTATCTTCTTTTTTTTTGTCACCACATTGTTTGTTTTCAAGAATCAATTGTTGCATAGCTTTTTCAAATTTTCCTAAAAAGATAAGACGGACATCCTACAGAGTCAATGGAAAAGTTCACGATAATTAAGAATTGGACCACTTCCACTTTAGTAACTTTTTTAGAGCGGATATTTCTAATAATATAAAAATTTTACAATCATGCACTCGGTGTAAATTTTTTCACGGAATCATATCTCACATTGTAGATGTTTGTGTAAAACATTTATACGCTGTCAATGAATGACTAATAAATTTACGATATAATATGCTAACTACACTTGGTTGTTTATTCAAGGTTCTCCGAATTCTAGAGGGAGACATGGTGATGGACACAAATTACATTTCAACTCCGGGCTATGATGTCGGAAATAGAAGTGGTCGCATTTGGTCAGAGCCACTGCAGAGACAACATCATTACAGCGGTCCCCTCTTAGAAGATTCATTAGAGTCATCATTCAGTGGAAAGCTATCTCGTGACAAGTACAAACCTTTCTATTGGGATAGGAGTAGGGACAAGCCTTAACAAGAGAACACAATCGAAGTTTTATACCGTGGCTAAAAGAATACATTTTTTCAGAATTTGCTAAAAATCCTGATTCAATTTCAGAAAGATTGAGATGGCTAGCAAATGGTCCAAATTCAAATGTTCTATCGTACTCTGGTTATATAATTAACAAGTATACATTTTATACAGAAGAACATGATCATCAAAGCACTGTGCAAAATAGCGGTGTCACACTCGTAGCTGAATCTGTGCATATCTCAAGTTCCAAAAATAGAAATCCCGCATTTTCCAAATTGTCATATTTTGGGGTCATTGAACGTATTTGGGAATTAGATTACTCATGCTTTCAAGTGCCCGTGTTTGGTTGCAAGTGGGTTGACAATAACAATGGCCTTCAAGTTGACCCTGGGTTCATGAAGGTCGATCTTAATAAAGTGGGTTGACAATAACAATGGCCTTCTATATGTTATGATATTTGGAAACAATAGGATTTGGTAATTTAAAATGTTATTTGGTATTTGATGGATCATAATATATATGCAATGAGTAACTTAAAGCGTTATTTGTGTTGAATTGAATATAGTTATTTTATTTTTACACCAAAAAAAATGATTGTGTAAGAAAAAATATTGTACTGTACTTATTAAAAATATTGTACCAAATATGTACCATTTATTAGCACTTTATTTGAAAGCGCTATCAAACATATGTTATATATTAGCGCTTTTTGTTTAGAGTGCTATAAAAAAACAAACAAAAAACATGCAAAATACTGACTTTGATAGCACTTTAATTAAAACGCTATTATAAATTGGTACTTTAATAGCGCTTTTAAAGTGCTATTAAATAAGAAATATTTACAATAGTGGCGCGGTTAATAGCACTTTTAAGCGCTATCAAAAACAAAAAAAAGCGCTATTATATCGATGAAAGTTACATTTCTCGGTTTACTAACCTTAACCATGTCAGTTGGGCATGTGGGTGTGTTGCATTGATTGTACTATATTATGCACTTGGAGAGGTGATTGTCTTTGAGATAAGGGAGCTTACTGGTTATATGAGTATATTTGAAGTCTAAAAATTTATTATGCTTTATTAATTTAGTTCTTATTTATGAAATTTGTTAATTTGCATATGTTCTTGTGCAATGTTAGATATACAAGCATTTCTCAAATATTTATGGCAGACGGGTTAGTCCTACCACTGCTGGCTCTCCACGGGCCAAGAAATGGAAGCACTACTACAAAAAGTATCTTTTCTAACGCCACCGTGAATCAACTAGGGAAAATCTCAAATAATGAAGTCTCCATCAAATATTTATTTATCCCAAGGAAAGGAAAGGAAAACATCGAAGAAAACATGATAAGGGGGAAATCAAGGTCTTACAACCAAGAGAATAGGTACGAGAGTCGATTACGCAAGGGGGAGGTATTAGCACCTCGAGCATCCGTCGTACTCGAAGGGATTCACTCTTGTTGTTATAATCAAAGGGCGTGTTTATAATCTAATGCTAACTGTTGTACCCCAAAATTTGCCCTCTCATTTATCAAAGAATCATCTTGGACCCTCAGGTTTGCTTCCATCCAATTCCCAGCCTTGAATTACAAATTTTCCAAGAAAGTCATTCACAAGGGCAAAATGGTCATTTGCATACTGAAAAATCAAACTTTGACTTTTGGATCAAAATCAAGTTTCAAGGATCATATTTCATCAAGACATGTTGAAATATGAAGTTTGTTTCATCAAAAAATTCAAAAGTCAAAATTACTTTGGAAAAGTCAAAATTCTAAATACTTAGAATTTTTCTAAGTGTTTAAGAAATATTACAAGCTTAGAACTTCTATCCAGATTTTCACCATGATGCAAGCTGATTCTGGAAGAACTTCTAACACAAGAGTTTTAGATCTCAATAAAACCTAAAATATTGCAGAACAAAACTTCTTCTAGAAATGCTGGGATTTCAAGTTATACATCTTCAAAGTCATGTCCATGAAACTGAAGCATTCAGCAAATTCCAGACCTTCCCAAAATAGGACTTGGTTAGAACTTCTGGGCCAGTTTTCACTTAGGTTCAGTCAGAAGTGGCAAGAGAAATTCAAAGAGGATTTATAAAGCATGTTACAAGCTTTTGGGAAAGTCTGAGAACTCGCTCAGAACATGCTGGAGCAAAGAGATTAAAGGATCAGAAGTTGGATGTTGGTTCTAATTTGCGCTGATGCTGAACTTATGATCCAGAATTAAGCTATAATGCATAATCTAATATTGCAAAATTTCTGGTTTGATAAATCTCATCATCATTTAATGCTCACAACCACTTTGGAGTTTTTATCCAGAGGATTTCCCTACGTGTGACATAGAAGTACACTGTTGTCCTTGAAAAAAGCAAACTCTTGTACAAAATTATACTGGGCCCATCCTTTACTTTTGCCTCTGAGGGCACTTTTCCTTAATTCATGCTTACAAATCCAGCTTAGGCACAACTAAAAGCTGCTAACTACCATACTTTTTATCTTGCTTCAAGAACAAGCCAACACGCTAGCATGACGTTGGTACATTTGACTTCTCCAAGCTACAAAGTTCTTGCATATAAATTGAACTTCATTTGCAACTGTGAATGGTGGGGGGGGGGGGGGGGGAATTGAAAAGAAAAAGCCTTGAAACCTTGCTAAAATTTCCAGGAATCCAAAACTGCAAACACAAATACAAAACCTGTTAGTTTTTTATTCTTGCATTCAAACTCCAATTTCCCTCAAGTGTTTCTTGACCAAATCATTCATACATCATTCATAACCCAATTTAAAGGCTGTTCTAGTCTGCTGAGTATATAAGTGTGATACGGTGGGAAGAACTGACTGTTTTTTGGAATGCTGGTTTGCGTTTTGCGTTTGTGTTTTCAAAATGTTGCGGTAATCAAGAGTCGCCACCGACTTTTATTTTATCCAACAAGGAAAGGAAAAAAGCACAGAAAAATTCCTTTTTCAAGATTATTCTCGGGTTCGGGGGGTAGATTTATAGAAAGGGAAGGTATTAGCACCCTTTCCATCTGTAGTTATCTACGGGCTCTTAGGTACTTGCTCAATTGTTTTCAAAATTATTTTCTTTGTGCTTGTGGGTTTGAAAAAAGTTTTTGTTTGAAACTTCGATTTAACTCCTGCTTCTGTCCTCAAGAGTGTAATGAAGTGTTTTTGAAAACTTTGTTTGAAAAGGAGTGTAAGTGTGAAAAAGGTTTTGTTTTAAAAGAGCAAGTATCTAAGAGCTAATCTACCTACTCGAAAAAAAGAATCGTTCTATGCTAATTTCCATTAGAAAATGCTATATGTTGTACCCCAAAATTTGCCCTCCCATATTCCTCAAGATTTGTCAAGAATGACCTTCAAATTGCTCAAGATTGCTCAAGGGTTGGACAGTCAAATCATCTCCTAAGGCAGTCAATTCAAAATTAGGGTTTTGGTTCTTCCAAGGAATTTGGGGTTTTCAATGGTTCAATCAAGTCTCATAGGCCTATATACATTCTCAAGCACCTACATGCCAAGTTTCAAGACTCACAGTGCCAATTTGCACAGTCAAAAGCCCCATTTGATCTACAGTCAACTGCAAGGGCAAAATGGTCATTTTGCAGTCAAAAGTCAGAATTCTTGGTCAACATCTTATTTTGAGTTCACAATCATCATTTGATCAAGTCTTTACCATGATCCCAGAAGAATAGCTCAAAAATCATCAAGATGCAAAAGTTACTATTTTTAGACAGTAGAAAAGTCAACTGTACTTTGACCAGGGCATAACTCTTTCATGGTTTATCATAAAAATTCCATCCAAATCTCATTTTGAAGAGGATGCAATTTCCTACAATCCATTTTCACACTCCAAGATCAAGAAATTATCTCACAAAAAGTTACAAATTTTTACATTATAGGTCAATTTCAAAAGTCAACAAAAGTACACTTTAAGTCAAAGGCCATAACTTGAGATTGGTAAATACAAATGACATGGGACCAAAAGCATTGGTTAGAGGACTTCAAGGGCTTTCCAAAATGTCCAATAACATGGTCATATGATCAAAATTGAGCAAGTTGTGCATTGGAGAAGTTGGGAAATTTTCATGAATTTGCAAAAGTCAACTTTGCTCAAAACACCTTCTTTTTGCCAATGGGCCTCAAATCTCTTTTTGAAACTTCACCCATGACCTATGCACGACCCACCAAGGTAAATTGGATTTATTTTCTTAAATTTATTGATTAAATGGATTTTTAATACATATTAATTCATTTAATTAATTTAAATTATAAGAAAATAAAAGATTTGATTCTTAAACATTTTTGTGAACCAAATATGATCCAAATATGCTGACCAATTCACGCACAAGCTAAAAGATACAAAAATATCCAATTTTGGCAACTTGTTCAATCATGGAAAATCAAGAATATTTGATTTATCAATCAAAGATTTAATCTTCAATGCACATGGGCATGGGGTCCAAATTTTAACCTAGATTGATTCCCTTATATGCAAGCAAGCCAGCCATAACCTAATTCACAAGAAAAAGCTGCAGAAACGGCCATATCAATTTCAAGAAATTCCAAGAAAACTCAAAATCTGTTCTTGCAATCTAGGCCAATTCAAGGCGTTTTGTCCATCCAAACACATTGCAGGAGGTACCAGGAGTGAATTGTAATCAAATTCAGGCACCAAAGCTCAAGGAATCACGAAATACAGTTTCACGGTTTGCACTTATAATTCAAAATCGTATCTCTTAATTCATACGCATTTGACATGTTTTTGTGATTGATTTGCATTGCTAGAGATCATACAAAGCTAATGGAATGATTGAATTGAACCATAGTGCCCTGAATCGAGAGATGCCATGATTGAATTTCTAGGGTTTTCAAACTTTCAAATAGGGCTTTCCAAACCAGGAAAAATTGGAACCAATGGGATACATGGTTGAAATCGTGAGACCAAGACGATTGCAACGCATACCTCGCGAAATATTTATGTTTGCTCTGTGTCTATTCGCTATT